CTAAGCTCATCTATGATAGACACTACCATAGAGGTTTTAGGAACCTCTTAAAACTGAAGTCAGGTCTTGCTGGGATCTGGGATCCTAAGCTTGAGATAAACGTAGATGTAACTTGAACTAAGAATCTGGAGGTAGGCAGTTCCACAAGGAGTAATGGTAGTTCAAATTAGGATCTTTAATTCGAGCTACCTACTCCGTGCCGCGTGTAGCCGCGAGCACGGAGTTTGGACTAAGGGGGATTTAAAAATGGCGGCTCCCGGGAACATGCAAATGAAGCCCAGGATATTTAAATCCAGGCTTCATTTGCAACTCCACTTGCCCTCATTACCCTACCTAGCTCGAATTTACGAGCTAGTGTATACGTACCCTAAGACATTAAGTGCATAAATAACACAGTAAGACACTGATTTGGGCCAAGAAATTGAGGCTTCTCATTCTGTGCTGAGAAGTTATGTGCAGCTTCCCTATTGTTACAGCACATACTGTGTGCTGTGTTGTTAGTTCCCTCTTGGTGAGTGGCACACAACTTCCACTAACCATGGAGGTGCAGGTCGTGATACATCAGGATGTGCTCTAAAATAGGGCAAAAATTCTAGTTTTTTATCTAAAAGTAAGTGGCTAATAGATATGATGTTTCACAGTGGGTTGGTTTTTATTCCCTTTGAATTTCCTGTACAGTTTCTCTTAATAATTCTTAATTAAAATATGGGCTTTGACTGCATTTTTTCCTTTGCAGGCCTATTTTATATTGTAGAGCAATATTTCCTGAAAACTTTGCATTCCTTCATGAGAATAATTGAGCAAACCTGAAATAGCTTTTGTTTTTTTTTAAAAAAGTTACTAATTGAGCTGCTCATTTTGGGTAGAAATCACTCTATCCAAAAGGTCTGGAACTACAGCAATGCATCAGTACAACACCGTGAGCAGAAGCTAGAGAGGCCTTAGTTCTGAATTTTCTGGAAAATTTCATTCATTGTGTTTTTAATGGGATAATTTATAAATACTAAATATAAAGCAGACTAGTTAATTTACTGTGGTTTATTTTGCGAACAAATTTAGTCCAGAAATGTAGGAGATACGGTTACCAAGTAGTATGCAAATCTGGTCAACACGGACCTTGTATGGGTGTAGCCATTTTGGATAGAGGTGTGATCTTTTTTTGAGTTGAAATACTGAAGCTTGGTGCCACCCCAATGTGGATGCAGCTACACCAAGTTGAAAGGTGCCATACAGCATTTTAGCTTTGTTCCTGTCCCATCCTGGAATAAGCAGTGTTATACCACCGCAATGCTAGGGAGGAGTATATTGCTTATTGCTTTAGTTGTATTCGTACAGTTAAAGTGGTGCAACTTTGTATGTATACAAATGCCCTAACTTGTGAAGGAATTATTCTAGTTTGGGCCCTCCCAAATGTACAGCCCATTTCAGTAATTTCTGTTCATAGGATTTTAAAAATGGCAAATGTCATGATTTCATATATTGAAATCTGAAATTCCATGGTGTTATAATTGTAGGGCTCTGGCCCAAAAAATAATTGTGTGTATGGGGGTGGCAAGGTTATTGTGTGGGGGTTCCAGTATTGCTACCCTTACTTCTGCCCAGCTGCTGGCAGCAGTGTTGCCTTCAGAGCTGGACAGCTGGAGAGTGGTGGCTGCTGGCCAGGAATCAACAGCAGCTGTGCAAAAAGCAGGATGGCATGCTATGGTTTTGCCACCGTTACTTCTGTGCTGCTGCCTGCAGGGCTGGGCCATCAGCAGCTGCTACTTTCCAGCTGCTACTTTCCAGCTGTGAAAGCCACAGTGCAGAAGTCAGGGTGACATGGGTATGGTATTTCCACCCTTCTTTCTGCACTGGCCCTGTTGGGGCATTGCCTTCAGAGCTGGTCTCCTGGCTGATGTTACAACCACGGCTCTTCAGCTGCCCAGTTCTGAAGGCAGCGCGGAAGTAAGTGTGGCAATTCTGCGACCCTCATAAAATAACCTTTTGGGTCAGGATCTCCAATTTGAGAAACACTGGTCTCCCTGATGAAAAGCACCCCAAAGGCCAGATTTCATGGGAGGACACCAGTTTTCATGGTCTGTGAATTTGGTTCAGCTCTAATTATAGTTTGACTGGGCTGACACTGTCTCGGTGGGAAGCTCGTAACACTGCACTTGCATAATAAAAACCTATCAGTCCAAATCTGTGCATGTACATCCTATCCTAGTGCATTTTAAAAACTTCCTAGTACCTGATTTCAGGGCTACTGTTTTGTTTTTGTTTGTTTGTTTTTAAAGCCTACATAGCCAGGTTAAAAGGCCATAAAGGAGTTTGCAATGACTAAAAATACCATGCGGTGCAATCCACAGGCTATGCTGTGATGGATGCATCTTATCAATACACTGCTAATGCTTATAGGGACATCAATCCGAGAAATATCTTTGGGTCAAATCTAGGAGCATGAAGCAGGCAAACATCCCACTGCTGCTATAGGTGTTTTGCCTGAGTAAAGATTGAGCAAAGCCTTCAGATTTGGTCCTCTTGGCTTTGCTGTATGTGTGTTAAATGTCTAAAGGAAGAGATCTCCATGATGTGCAAATTACTTTTAAATAACATAGTTTTAATTTATAGCACATATAGGATCTATAGAAGTGCCTAAATGTCTGAAACCTGTTCTCATTTTCCCTTCTCTGGTGTGCCTATAACCCTGAACTAAAGCCCTGATTGGCTCTTAGGAAAATTAGATGTTTGTACTTTGTATCTTTTCATATTTTTGTCCAGAATTTGTACAGTAGGATTTTAGATTCCTGAAGGTTCTAAAGAAAATGCACATGTTTCTGAAAGACCATGGGATCTGCAACAGTTGCAATGCAATCTCTGGCTCAGAGCGGGATAGATGGGTGCGAATGAAAGCAATTTCACATGTCCCAGCATGTAACAAGGCATGAACATATTCCCAAAACAGAACCACAGCAACATCTGAAATTATTCAGTAAATCACCTTATCAGTGCACATACAGAAGAAGTAAGTGTGTAGGGACAGCTAGGCCAGGTTTACACTAAAGGGGAAGGCTGAATTAAGATACGCAACTCCAGCTATGTTAAC